GTAGTTGTAGTCAAATGTCGTCATCGTGCAATTGTCCTATACCACTAGACAATCAACCGATCGAAATTACTACCCAGTCTTCGGGTAGAAGTGACGTCACTGGACAGCATGAACGGCCGGTCGATTATTGCTGAGAGAAAAAAACGACCGGAAGCAATCGGATGAAATTCAGGCTAGGTTAATAGTTGCTTAGTATTCGTGTGTCCCTGCCAATACCCAGGGGCAACAAGCGAAGATTTTTGCAAATATGAATTAAAAGCAACAATAAAGCACAAGCGATTTTTCTTTTGGAATGGTGGAATCAAATTCCTACACTTAGGGGATCAGATGATGTGAGGAACAGATCCAGGAGGAGATCACTTGGTGCCCGCAGATACCAGTATTCAAATCGTATAAGCAAACAGAATACAATCACCCACTAAATTCTAGTAGGGACATGCCAGGGCGTACCGACCACGTGACCTCCTTTTCGCGCGCAAATAGCCTGGGACCAGGAACTCGTTTCTCGAAAGTCCCGATAACTAACGGGCCCGTAAAGCTGTTCAGGTTTACATGCCAGACAGAGGTTTCAATAGTTTTGCATCTTACGTGATAAAACTATCAGTTAATGAAACAAAATGGAGTGGTTTGCTGGCCAGGACACTCGCTCTTATTCTTTATATTTCGATTTGAATATTTGATTTCGGGCCCGAAAAGTTACCGGGACTTTCGAGAAACGGGCCCCAGGCTCCTCGGTGGGTGTAAAAAGGGGAATAACGAATATAACGAGGATCAAGAAATCGGCGAGCGAAGCTAGCCACGCTCAGTTTGCGTCATTCTTTGCACTCACCCCTTTCACCAGAAAGGAGCCTGCTGATCCCAAGCTCACTCGCAAAGAAATATTTTGGCGAAATCGTGAGTAGACTCACGTACAGACGTATCAAAAAACTCTGCAGCCAACTTCGGGCAAGTCAAGATACAGATAAATTAACGAGGCAGGTACAAAAGTCGGACCGGATCAACTCCGACCGCCAGTCCGGGTCGGATCAACTCGGATCGACTCGGACCAACTCGGATCGAATAAAAAAATAATAAAAAAATAAAATTGGACTCGCATCAACTCGGAGCAATCAAAAAGATTAAATTAAATCCGCAAAACTGAAAGTTTAACCCATTTGGAGGATAAAAAGGCCAGATCATCCAGTGCCGTAGCCAGACCAAACGGCCAACCGAGGCAGGCGGGAGTTGCTAGAGGGGTTCGGGGGCATGCCCCCCCGAGAAATTTTGAACTTTAGTCTCTCGGAAATGCGATTTGCAGCGTTTTCTGGGCCTTTCGGTAACTTTTTTTCGAGTTAATTTAAGTGGAATTTAAAAAGCAATAATCAGAAACAAGCTACATAATCTGGGTGACCGTTAACCTCGCCAATGGTTTTGATCAGTATTGTTCAAAAAAAATTTGAGTTAACGTACGTAGCCCCTTGAGATCGATGATATGGTAATTTTTTCATAGTATACTGACTGAATTGCTGAATTCTTTGTAATATCATGATGCGTTAAAAATATCCGATGATCGCTTATGTAAAATAAAAATGATCGGCGAAATTCGTCAAAATTTTACCGAGGCGAGTGCCTCGGTTGGCCTCATACTAGCTACGGCGCTGTCATCCATTTTTTTCTCCGTGGCTTTCAGGCGCCATTTTGTTTTACTAGTGCCAGTTCCTCTCGGATCATGTTATAACCTCGTGGTTGTGGTTCGACAGTAAAGAAATGATAGTTTCAGTCGCCTAGAATGTATATATTTGCTTATTTATTAGACTACTGAATTATTTATCAGAAAAGCATCAAAAGCCTGGTCTGTTGATCGCATTTAGGTAGTTACCGAAGAGTGTTTGTTTGTTTGTTCCTGTTTGTTTTTTTTTTCTGCAGGACTTCTGAAACTTAATTTTAATGATACACTCATGAGCAGCACACATACATTTCCAGTGAACATTTTCAACTTGGAAGGAGGAGAAACCATGCTCGCCCTGGACATAGGAAATTTCCAAGCCCCAAGGCAAGAATCGAACTCGCGACCCTCCGGTTCAGTGGTTGGAACGTCCGATAAACATGTAGTATTCGGAGGGTCGTGAGTTCAATGCTCGCCTAGGGTACGAAAATTTTCGTTGTCCCGGGCGAGCATGATTTCTCCTCCTTCCAAGTTGAAAATATTCGTTGCAAGTGTATATGTGCTGCTCACTAGTGTATCATTAAAATTAATAAAAATAAAAATAAAATTAATTTACGCAACCACGAGTTCGTGACAAAAAAACAAAATGGCGGGTGAAAGTTAGTGATACCGACTGATTTTATTTTTCTTTTTATAATCCGAGTTGATCCGAGTCCAATTTTATTTTATTTTTATTTTTTTATTCGATCCGAGTTGGTCCGAGTCGATCCGAGTTGATCCGACCCGGACTGACGGTCCGAGTTGATCCGGTCCGACTTTTGTACCTGCCTAAATTAACGAGATGAACTCTGTATGAAAATGTGTCCATTGACCAGTGAGAAAGTCTGTATTAACATGCAGTTGTCCAAATTAATTCGGTTGACGTTGAGAAAAAAAGAAAGCTCTGATTTGTCCACTTTTGCGTATACACGTTTGTAAGTTCTATTTTTTTGACACATACACCGCAGTGCACAGATTGTGTGTTTGTGCAACTCTGTCAAGTGACCTCATTTTACAGTTTATCCTTTCTATCTCTGTTTCTTACTTTCAATTGAAAATTACAATTTTCTATTTTTTTTCAGTAATTTTCCTTTTCTAAAGCGACCAACAGTTGTTGTAAAACAGTAGCACAGAAACTGGCCGAAGTCAGATTACAGACGCTGGAATTACTTCTACACCCTCTATTAGCAATTTAATTCTTTGGTTGTTTATTTGAATTTGTTAGCTTCCATTTGAATTTGACAATTTTCAAGGGACTGTTAACATAAAATTGAATTAGAATTGAATTATAAGTCTTAAATTACATTTAGATCTGATGAGCTGGGGGAAAATGAGAAACTAAAACCCTGATTTCAGTACACTTCGCCGTCATGGTAACAAGAGAAAGCAAAAGACGCAAACAATGTAAACGGTTTGAATGTATTAAGTCAGGTGTTATAAGAAAATTACCAGTTGACTTTTCCCGATCTTGATGTCACCCAGCTCCAAAGATTGACCATTGCTGTTCTCAAAAGTAACAGGACAAGGTTGAACTTTGCTATTTGGGAATAAAGAACTAGGGTTAGGCATGCAGCGAAGAACTAAAATAAAAATTTAACAAAGCCCAATGATTAAGCTAGTTTACACTCACTGGACGTTGTATCAGGCAAAGGACAAGGAGTGAAAAGGTTAAACGCATCACTGGAGTTGAGCGAGAAAAAGATGGAAGACACTGTAGTATGGCAATTAGTTTTTCAGCACTGCTTAACTGAAGAGAAGCTTGGAGATGACAAGGCTTGCACACGGAAGGCCAACATTACCTAAGATCGAGGGCTAAGAGCAAAACAAGAAGGGAAACTGCAGGGGGAGGGGGAAGGAAGGATAGAAATTTCGATCTATGAAAACAAAAGATGAAACAAATATTTCAAAAATTTGATGTAATCAAGGCAACTTTAGTTCCAAAAAGAATATTTGGATCATTGGATTGGAAGAATGAATGCGATCCATTTTGAGGGGTTGCCTTTTTGAGCAAGTATAAGTAAATAAGAGTGTCAAGTGGTTTCAACTCAAAAACATTTCAATCTAAAAATATTTTTTACCACGGACCATGATGATGATGTCAGCACTTGTGAAAAATATATTGTGTATTACTTTTTAGCTCACCATGGGAAACCTGATAAGAAGGAGCTGCATATTTAGCGGATCCCTCCCCGGCTCGGCGGATTAACTTCGGCTGGCAACAAGTTCTCTTGCGGATGTGACTCCTGTCTCGGATTTCGACTTCCCTGCCCTTGAAACAGAGCACGCGCGATGCGTGTTGTAACCTAAAGGACTGCATTACTCGCATTATCTTTGAAAAAAACTCCTTCGGGAAAGATAATGAATATGTATACATGTAAAAGGAGTACTTTCTTTCTCGCCTTCTTGGACCGCAATGATTCAAACTCTCTTTCGATTCCTCAGTTTGGTTTTTGACTCCTCATTCGACGATTTATCCAGTGCTCGAAACGCTCGTGTTCCTAGCCCCTTTGCGGAAAAAGGATAGAGACGCCTTTCATAACGAGGAGTCGGGGGGGGGACGTAGGAGTTGGGGGTTGTAGGTTCGAGGGCATCCCAGGACCCCCATGGCTACTAGGCCTTTGTACATTATGCTTTTGCTGACCTACTAAAATGCTCCACCTTAATGCTCCATTTTTCCCACTAAAATGCTCGGTCTCCCCAAAAAAGTCACTAAAATGCTCGGATAATGCTCATTATACAAACGGTTTTTTTAAATTAATTTCAAAGTTTACTTAAAAAAACGTGCAAGTGTTGCAAGTAACAACGACAACGTGTACAAGTTCATAAATACAGCCAAAAAAACCAGCTGTATTAGGTTTTTTGTGAATTTTGAATTCTAGTCTTCATTTTGTTTAAAAAAGCAGGAGCTCATGGGGCATGGGCTCCTGAAAAAAGTTAATTTCTATTTTATTTTCTCGGAAAAATTAATTTTCCGGGGAAAATGCCACTAAAATGCTCGAATAATGCTCAATGCTTTTGCCTCACTAAAATGCTTCGCCCTGGATAAAAAAGGTAGCTTAATAAATCGTTAAGGCACTACTTCTTAAGTTGCATTTTATTTTAGCTCCTAATAATCGATAAAAATAACCAATACAAACAGTTAACCTCTTACGTACTTGTAAAGTAATTAGTGAATTAACATGTGCTGTAATTGCTACACAAATTTGAGAGAAACTGCCGGCCCCTTCATACCATTAAAGCGGAGTTAAATTTAACATGATTAGAAGTCAATCACAAAACGAGGTAAAAACTGAAGCGTAATCACAGTCAGTGACTACTAACGCAGACCGACACTCATCAACCGTGTGCTGACGGATCGGTGACCATTGGTATTGAAGGCCACACCCTTATAGCCGCTATTTGTAGAAGCTGTGCGGAAATAAGGCGATTTGAAATCACCACACCAGTCGTTACACTGCTTGTAACAGTTGGTGTATCCGGAAACAAAAAACCCGGTGTAAAAAGAATGATCACAGATCAACAGCTGGTACGAGTAACCACTATTCATGGATCCAAAGCCTTCCCACAATCCATAAGCACTAGCTTGCTTCCCATAGTTACCAACAGCTTTGATGGGCAAGTTAGTTTTCCGTTTGAAGTGAGCCTTATCTCCAGTTTGGTGATCAACGAAAATAATCTCGGTGAACTGAAGCAAAGGAAAAAGCAAAACAACTGTTGTTATTTATTGGACCCGATCAAATGGAAGCAAATGGTGTGTTGGTGCCTCAGAAATGATAACTGTCGGGTGGTGTACACGTCAGGGCCTGAAATTATGGAAAACCTTGATAATTCAAGCAACTGAATTCTTTTTAACTAGAAATTTAGAATGTATCATCGTTTACAACTTAAAACGAAAAACAGCAAAAGCGTAAACAGCAATATCGTAATCAAATATGTTAAATGTTACATCTCCAAATTTAGTCTGCCCTGGGTGATGAATAAAAACAAAACCATACTGCTTGAAAATATAATAATAAAATAGAAATCACTTAGGTAAAAATCATCGACAAGAAAGCAACAAAGAAATTTTGTCTTCCAGGTGGGAGACCCGAACCCGTGACTCTCCGCTCTCCAGTTTGATGCTCAACCACTGAGCTACTAGAAATACCCCAGCTCACCACGCAGCCGCAAGTATGATCATTAACGTGACAATGAACTGCCAAAAATCGCAACTAACGCGAAAAATAGTCAGACTCGCGATTTTTCGCAACCTACGTAAAACTGCAATTTGTGCTGCTGCCTGCAAACCTAGAAATAAGTGGAGAATCGTGGGTTCGAGTCCCACCTAGAGTCAGAATTCTTTCTTGGATCCTTGTGGTTGATTTTCATCAAAGTGATTTTCTAATATGCAAAACCGCACGAAATTGCTCGATCTTTGTTTCTGTATTTTTCTTTCCTTGTTGTGTGACCTTAATATAACAAATCCTTTAGAGCATTCTACTGGTGAGCTGTTATCAGCCTTCCAAAAAACCTCCGCCCAGTTTGGAAAGGACTTTTATGCTGAACGAAACTTTGTCAACATTTCCTTCAAAGTAAAGCAGTTGCTGAAAATCAAGTCAATCAACTTACTTTAATGTTGTTGCAGTTTGTTCTGTAACCGTCATTTCCATAAAGAAACTTAGGATTGTAGGTGACTTCAGTCCTGGGTTTGGCGTATTCATCAGTAGTGTATCACATGGTCCATCCTCCATTGTATGACGTCATGTCACAGTAAGCCAAAAACGCATTTGAATCGCTTCCACCATCTGGATCTAACCAGTACATACCATCTCCCCGAGACTGGCCTCGGTTCAGAACCTCCTGGCAATCAGTTGCTAAACAATGAATAATTTTTTATATTTAACTGTATTCAAAAAGTTACTTGTGGCTCTGTCTTGCTTTTATATAAAGAATGTTCTTTCTAAGGGTTTGAGCAACATTATCTGGACTCAGATCACCACAGGATGTTACCTACGAACGCTCGTGAGAGGGGTGCTCGGAGGTCATTCAAGGGGAGAAAGGAGGTCGCCATTTATCCCAAAGAGGCACATAAGATTAGGGTAAGGTGGCTACTGTTAGCACAGAACACCTCTCTACCAACCTGGTGTTTCGTTGGAGTTTTGATTCAACTTTTTGTCCAACAGTTGCACCCAGTCTTTTCCGTCACAAAACTGCAAATGATTATCTGCCATGCGCAGCACTCCCTTGTTGGCAGAAGTACAATTGGCGTCAACCTCCTGAACGCTACACTGAAAATCGTAAAACACATGCAAAAAATTAAGAAATTAACTATGATATTTTATTATGGTTCAAATGCCACGTACATTAAAATTTACCGATATGGATATCTGATTATCAGAGAAGCCTTCTATGAAACTGCTCTATGAGCGTTACCTGTTTGGGTACTGCTAAGTTTCTATAGCTGCCAACACCCAGGAATACTAGTATGACTATCCACATCGTATAAGCAAAACAGACTACATGCTTCTGCAAAATTTGTGCAGGGGAATGCTACGAGAGTTAAATTGTTAACTATTCGCGCGCGAGGGAATGTCTTAGCAAGGTCGTGAGTAGACTCATGCTCACGTACATACGAACAAAAAAACATGCAGCCAACATCGAGCAAGTACGAGAATGTTAATTTAACGAGATAAGCTCTGTTATCTGTTTAAGAATTTGCCGATTGATCAAAAAAAGGTGTTTGTTGTTCGCTGACGTCTTAGGGAATATGAAACTTTCTGTATATTTTACAGTGTCAGTAATGAGGGGTTTACCTTCAGTGTTCGGCTGTAATACGCTTTTTCCAATTCTATTTTCTTTGCCGTTTGTCAGCGGTGCACATAGATTTTGCGTTTGTGTAGCACAGCTAAAATTATCCTTTCTGTTTTTAATCTGTAAATCACAAGCTGAAATTTTTTAATTTTGTTTTCAGCCCAATTTTCATTTCCTGAACCTTCTGATTGTTTAGTAGAAAAGTAGAAGCAGCTAAAACCACACCCACTTTCTCGACGGGCAATTTTCCCCGGGGGTCTCCCATATAAGAGTTACGGGGATGCTCGTCGGAAAAATAAAATTAAACCCCCAAGGGAGACTAATTTGGGTGTTGCTCAAGCTAAACTGACCCTAAAAAAGATTATACTTAATAAAAAAGACATCACGGCAATTTTGTAAATTTCTTTATGGACAGCCCTGAGCGATACCTGAATGGTCAAACAGAGTGACTTTCTGTCCCAAACACCCTAAGTGAGACCAAAATCTGCTATTTACGCCCCTAAGTGAGACGACGAGTATCCTCGCACTTTTATATGGTTGTCCCCACCCCCCGGGTCAACTGTAAAATTAAAAGTTAATTACATATCGCTGCTAACTGATGCTTAATTGAAAATAAGAAGTTAAAATCATAATTTCATTACGCTTTGCCATCACAATAACAAGAAAAAGCTAGAGACAGCAAACAAATGGAAGATAAACGTTTTACTAATCTGTTTCTTGAAAGTCACCAACCTGATGATCTTTCCCGATTTTGATGTCACCCAGCTTCAAAGATTGACCATCGCTGTTCTCAAAAATAATAGGGCAAGGTTGAACGTTGCTGTTTAGGAAAAAGAGCTAAGGTTAAGCTGCAAAGTACTAAAATGAAAATAAAAAAGGGCCCAGTAATTAAGCTAGTTTACACTCACTGGATGTTCAACGTCATCAGGCAAAGCACAAGGAATGAAACGTTTAAAGGCATCATAAGAGTTGTGTGACTAAAGGGTGGTAAGACACTGTAGTATGGCAATTAGCTATTCAGCACTGCCTGACTAGAGAGAAGCTTGAAGATGGCTACGTGAGCAATCGGGATAGCCAATACGACTTAGGGGGCAAAGATTATAACGGCAACGGAAAAAGGTGTGGTAAATTAAGGACGGAAATTGATTTCATCATAGTTTGATATAGTAGACGAGACTCGTTGTGAAAGGCGTCAAACATCAAAAATAAAAAATAACGGTGCTAGAATGCTTTGTTTTTTGTTCTCAAATTGTGACGGAATAAATTAATACAACGTTTTTATTGGTCAATATGATCAAAATGATAGGAATGCTATTGAACGTTTGTGCACCTTCAAGTCCACAAAACATATAACAACTTCAAGCTTCTTAACTATTCCACTGTATTGACTTTGATTAAAGAAAAAAAGAACAAAATTTTTACAATTTGATGTTATCAGGACCACTTAAGCCCGAAAAGCAGTATTATATCGTTGGTTGAAGAATTGATGGGTTCCATGCTGGATATTGCCTTTATTAGCAAATACAGAGTACTAAGAGCGTCAAGTGGTAGGCCCATTAAAAAAGATTGTCATCTAAAGATTATCATTTGCCATAGACCATAATTAAAATGCCGGTACCTGTGAAAAATATATTGATTTAATTGCTCTTTTATTTGCAGAAGATCGATATCGATCCCGAAACTGATAATATAGCCTGCTCAAAAACCCTCTATTTTCTTTTCAGAGATCGTCGCGCGCGCGTTTTGGAAATCTACATGAAAGTCGCGGGGGACTTTTTGATTAGAAGACCGATCACAGAGAAAATTCATTGCAATCCCCACCTCGAGTGAAGCGATCCCAAAATATGGAGATTCCCACGATAGCAAATCTGGTAGAACACAGGGTAAAAATATGGTCCATTAATGTGGTATGAATGAGAGGGGGATCCTGGCCAATAAAGTAATATGATACAAACCTCGAAGTTATGGAAGTGTATCCAACCGGAGATAGTCAAGCACTGCAGACAAGAGAAGGGTACCACCATCTCAAAAATAATAAAGAAATCCGTACCCGATAAGTACTCTAAACATGGCGCTGGCGTTTTTTCAACTATTTGTTCAAAGTGGGCACTTTTATTTGATTGTACGTCGGAAGGTGCTACAGCTAACTTCTTTATTTGGGGGGGGGGGGGGGGACGTGTTAAACCGAGAGAATTGTATTGATTTTGAGGTCTTCATGACAATGGAAGCAATCTTTCGAGAAGTAATCTTTTTCTGCCGAAACAAGTGGATGGATTTGTAAAACCGGGTCAGCAAATTTCCTGTAATTTTTCTTAAATTCCTCTGTCTGACTTGGCTTATTTGCTGTGTTCGTTTATGTTACTCTTTTTTTCGTCTTCGCGTGGTTAAAGATTTCCATCTCCGTCACACGTCCGATGGTTTAAGATCTTTCCATTCTTCTTAGGGAGTTAAAAATATACTGAAACCACGCCCAAATAGACCATTTTACAGTTGTGGCCTTAGTATCCTAGCCTTCCAATGAACATGAAGCTAAGTTTGACCTTGTTTTGATACAAACCTCCCAAATAAATACTAGCGAGCATAAGAATAACATGATAAACATAACAAAGCAGGAGTACCCAACGAACATTTTTCGCAAAATTGATTATACGATGTCGTAAACGCTAGCAAAGTGCTTTTACGTCAACCTATGTTAATATTTAACTTTCCTGGGAAAAAAACACCCGCTCTTCATTGCTAGCCTGCAAGACTTTCAGAAAATAAAAATCCCAGCCAGCAATCATGTTTGACGGTTTTTTGCCAGCCAGCAAGGTTAAAAAAACAAAAATTACGCAATCCCAGCCAGAGTGAAACGGAATTCGGTGTTTGCCAGCCAGCGGTAGCAGAAGTACGTTATGAGCCAGCCAGCAAAGTTTCATTTAACACATTGCCAAGAAAAACATGTAAGTCAGTAGGCAAGATCTGTTTTATGTCAAATTTACATAATATAAAAGAAAAGCGTGTTTAACCTGTTTCACCCTTTTATCTAGTTGTTTTTTTTTGAGATATAGGGAAAAGATCAGTGTACTTGTTTAGTATATGTTATTCCCTATCCCTAAGTATTACATAACAATAACAACTAAAGACATTCAGCGGTACTTACAGTTTTGGAATGTGGACTTGAGGAGTAGTCTTGAGTTTTTACCAGGTAAACGATAAAAAGGAAGATCCCGAACTTTGTCCATAACACAATAAAACGCAAAAAAAGTGATCACCGCAAAGCCTTAAGACCAATGCATTTTTTCCAACGATAATCGACTGAGGCGAAATAAAGTTTAAGAATAAACAACATAACGAGTAAGCTCGATCTACGTGTGGTCTCCTCTGCAAAATCACCCCAAATTCAGTGTAGACACATGCTTATCGCCAGCATTGTATGCCGTGCCTACTGTTACTCCGCAAAAAGTTTACACCAGAACTGATAGAAAGTTTCGAGTAAACAGGCTTTCCGTCGGAAACTTCTAACCGCCACGGCTGAAAACCACGAACCCACGAAGTAAGGTAACGTTTGCGGTCTTTAACTCGAGTTTCAACGTGGGGAGAATGGTTTCCTCTTTCTTCATTTACGTAAACGCCTGACAGCAAACAAATACCTTTCTGTTGCGGTGTAAAAAAACAATACTGTCCATGTTTTCAAATATGTTATGGCAACAGTTTACTTTTTAAAGCCAGACTGATAACGTGTTCTTGTAGTAACTTTCTCCGCACTAGTACTAGAAAAGCTTGTCATCCTGAGTTTGATCTTACTCACTCATTTTTTCTCTAGCCAAGAAGCCATAATGGTATGTCGTCAGACAATCACCACAAACGTTTCGCAGCAAAAGCCAGTAGTCGTAGGTAGTCAGTCAGGCAATCATCGTAAACGTTTCACACCAGAACTGGTGCAAAGTTTCGCAGCAAAAGCCAGTAGTCGTAGGTAGTCAGTCAGGTAATCACCGTAAAAGTTTCACACCAGAACTGGTGCAAAGTTTCGCAGCAAAAGCCAGTAGTCGTAGGTAGTCAGTTAGGCTATCACCGTA